AGGTAGAAGACGCCAAGACACTTGAAGAGGTAGAAGACGCCAACACGCTTAAGTCGACCATGTAGCCCGCGTAGAAGACGCCAAGACACTTGAAGAGGTAGAAGACGCCGAGACGCTTGAAGAGGTAGAAGACGACCGTGTAGCCCGCGTCGAATACGCAAAGACACTTGAAGAGGTAGAAGACGCCAAGACACTTGAAGATGTAGAAGACGCCAAGACGCTCGAAGAGAGGTAGAAGACGACCATGTAGCCCGCGTAGAAGACGCCAAGACACTTGAAGAGGTAGAAGACGCCAAGGCGCTTGAAGACGAAGAAGGAGCGAAGACACTTGAAGAGGTAGCAGACGACCATGTAGCCCGCGTAGAAGACGCCAAGACACTTGAAGAGGTAGAAGACGCCAAGGCGCTTGAAGACGAAGAAGGAGCGAAGACACTTGAAGAGGTAGCAGACGACCATGTAGCCCGCGTAGAAGACGCCAAGACACTTGAAGAGGTAGAAGACGCAAAGACACTTGAAGAGATAGAAGTCGCCAAGGCACTTGAAGAGGTAGAAGACGCCAAGGCACTGGAAGAGGTAGAAGACGTAGAAGACGCCAAGACACTTGAAGAGGTAGAAGTCGCCAAGGCACTCGAAGAGGTAGAAGACGCCAAGGCACTTGAAGAGGTAGAAGACGTAGAAGACGCCAAGACACTTGAAGAGGTAGAAGACGCCAAGACGCCTGAAGAGGTAGAAGACGACCATGTAGCCCGCGTAGAAGACGCCAAGACACTTGAAGAGGTAGAGGACGCCGCGACACTTGAAGAGGTAGAAGACGAGCATGTAGCCCACGTAGAAGACGCCAAGGCACTTGAAGAGATAGAAGACGCCAAGGCACTTGAAGAGGTAGAAGACGACCATGTAGCCCACGTAGAAGACGCCAAGACACTTGAAGAGGACGCTTGAAGAGGTAGAAGACGCCAAGACACTTGAAGAGGCACGGGACGCCAAGGCACTATGCCTGCAAAAGGCACGCGACCAACGCGGCCAAGCGTCTCCGGGGCTTCGAACCGAGCTGCGTTAGACCTGGTGAAGACGCCGCAGAAATGGGTGTCCACGCTTGCAGTTCTGCGAGCCGCGAATTCACAGATCTCACGGAGCCAGGCGGTGAGCCAGGTGGCGAGCCATGTCGCCTTTGCCTCTTGGGAGTTCTGGGGCTTTCCATGAGCCCGCTTCGGTCAAGGTGGACGCTATTACTCCGAACCCCCCCCCCCCCCCCAAAGAAAAAACAACAACAACCGCCCAAATCAATCTGCCGGGCACACGCGCTAAAATTCAGAGAAACCACTCCAAATGCTCGGTTCTGCCTGGAGCAGAGGCCCAAGAACCCTAGCTCAACTCGCATCAACGTGACTAAAAAGTGCTAAATCGCAGGGCCGCGAAAGCAGCGCCGCACCACCACCACCAACAACAACAGCAACAGCAACACCAACAGCAACAGCAACAGCAACAGCAACAGCAACAGCAACAGCAACAGCAACAGCAACAGCAACAGCAACAACAACAACAACAACAACAACAACAACAACAACAACAGCACAGCAACAGCAACAGCAACAGCAACAGCAACAACAACAACCACCAACAACAACAACCACGTCAACAACAACAGCAGCAGCAACAACAACAACATCGCCAACAACACCAGCAACAACAACAACAGTAACAACAACAACAAACACAACAACAACAACCACGTCAACAACAACAGCAGCAGCAACAACAACAACAACATCGCCAAACAACACCAGCAACAACAACAACAGTAACAACAACAAACACGACAAACAACAACACCAACAACCAACAACAAGCAACAAACAGCAAACAACACAGAACGCGCAACAAACAGCAAAGAACACAGAAGACACAACAAACAACAAACAAGAAACAACAAGCAGCAGACAACCACCACCAAATAACAATCAATAAACTACAAACCACAAGCCACAAGCAGCGAACCACGAACCACAAACGCCAAACACCAAACAACCAACAACAAGCAACAAGCAGCAAACAACGAATACCAAACACAAACACCAACAACAACAACAACGACAACACCAGCAACAGCAACAACAACAACACCAACACCGCCAACACCAACACCAACACCACACCACCAACACCGACACCGACACCAACACCAACAACAACCAACCACCCACCCACCCACCCACCCACCCACCCACCCACCCACCCACCCACCCACCCAACCAACCAACCAACCAACCAACCAACCAACCAACCAACCAACAACAGCAGCAGCAGCAACAGCAACAGCAGCAGCAGCAACAGCAACAGCAACATCAGCAACAACAGCAACAACGGCAACAACAGCAACAACAACAACAGCAGCAACAGCAACAGCAACAGCAACAGCAATGCTGAACACAAGAACCACAACAACCGCAACAACAACAGCAGCAACAACAACAACAACAACAACAACAACAGCACCAACAACAAAACGCCAACACCAACGCCAACACCCATACCAACACCAACCCCAACCCCGACCGCCAACACCAACGCCAACACCCACAACAACGACAAAGGCAAAGACAACGACAACGACAAGGACAACGACAACGACCAAAACAAAAGAACAACAACCGCAACAACACAACAACGGCAACAGCAACAGCAACAACAACAACAACAACAACAACAACAGCACCAACCACGACGACGACGACGACAACGACAACGACAACGACAACGACAACGACGACGAAACAACAACAGCGACAACAACATCAACAACAACAACAACAACCACAACAACCAACAACCAACAACCAACAAGCAACAAGCAAACAACCAACAACCGCCAACCAACAACCAACGACCAATAACCAACAGCCAACAGCCAACAACCAAGAGCCAAGAACCAAGAACCAAGAACCAACAACCACCAACAACAGCAACAGCAACAACAACAACCGCAACAACAACAAACCGCAACAGCAACAACAACATCAACATCACCAGCAGCAACAACATCAACGTCAACAACAACAACAACCGCTGCCACAACCACAACAGCAACAGCAGCAACAACAACACCAGCAACACCAGCGTCAACAGCGACAACAGCAACAACAACAGCAACAGCAGCAGCAACAGCAACAACAGCAAGAGCTGACAACAGCAACAACAGCACCAACAGCAACACCACCAACAGCAAAAGCAAAAGCAACAGCAACAGCAGCAACAACGACAACAACAAGAGCAACAACGACAACAACAACAACAACGACAACAACAGGAACAACAGCAGCAGCAACAACAACAACAGGAACAACAAAAGGAACAACAACAGGAACAACAACAGGGACACCAACAGGAACAACAGGAGCAACAACAGGAACAACAGTAGCAACAACAACAGACAACAACGAACAACAACAAACAATAGGCAACAACAACATGAACTACAACAACAATGACGCCAGCAGCAACAACAGCAACGCCAACGACAACAACAACGACAACAACCACAACCGCAACCAGCAACACCCAGCAACAGCAGCAACCGCAACATAATTTCCAACACCATTAACCCAGAACAAAAACAAAAACAACAACACCAGCAAGAACAAGAACAAGAACGCCAGCAAGAACAAGAACAAGAACACCAGCAAGAACAAGAACAAGAACACCAGCAAGAAGAGCAACAACAACGTCAACATCCAACAACAACAGCAGCAACAGCAGCAGCAGCAACAGCAACAACAACATAAGCAACATCAACAGCAACGGCAACAGCAACAGCGCCAGCAGCAGCAGCAGCAACCACAACAACAAACACCAACAACAACGACAACAACAACAACGTCGTTCACATCGACAACCACTTTAACATCAACAACAGCAACAAGCAACAAGCAACAACAGCAGCAGCAACAACAAACACGACAACAGCAGCAGCGCAGCAACAACAGCAGCAACAACAGCAGCAGCAAAAGCAAATATCAACAACAACAACTTTTTTGTACAACATCAACATCGACATCAACAGCAACAACAAACAACAGCAATGCCAGCAGCCGCAACAACAGCAACACCAACACCAACCCTTAACAACAACAACAACAACAAGAACAAGACCAATAGCAACAACACTACCACCACCGGCAGCACCAACACCAAGAACAACAACAACCACCACCACCAACAACAGCGCCAACAACACCAGCAGCAACAACAACAGTAACAACAACAACAACAACACCAGTAACAACAACAAACAACACACAACCAACAGCAAGCCGCAAGCAGCAAACAACACAGAACGCTCAACAAATAACAAAGACCACAGAAGACACAACAAACAACACACAACAAACAACAAACAGCAAACAACAAATATCAAACACAAACACCAACAACAACGACGACAACACCAGCAACAGCAACAACAACAACAACACCAACGCCAACACCAACACCAACACCAACACCAACAACAACAACAGCAACAACAACAAAAGCAAACAAACCAAATCAACAACAACAATAACACCAACAACAACAACACCACCACCAACAACAACAACCACAGCAACAACAGCAACAGCAAACACAGCAACAACAACAACGACGACGACGACGACGGCAACAACAACAATATCAACAGCAGCAGCAACAACAACAGCAGCAACAACACCAACAACACCAAGAACAGCAAGAGCAACGAGAACAAGAGCAGCAGCAAGACCAAGAGCAGCAGCAACAGCAGCAATACTAACAACAGCAGTGACAGCAGCAACAGCGACAAACAGCAACAGCAACGCCAGCATCGAAGCACAAGGACAAGGCACTTGCAGCAAGATGGGCAACATCGCCGGCCAGAGCAGCAAGTAGCAACAGCAGGAATGGTGTTTTGCAGATGAAAGCGTGTGATTCGATGAAGTTGGTTCGGGGGGGTGGTTTTTGCTGTCCAACTTTTACGGCGCAAGGCCACGACCAAGTACAACGAGCTGCAGCAAGCCCGCAATGGCGGCAAGGAGGTGAAGAAGCGCAGGAAGAGCAAGCCCCGCACCAGCCTGCGGCGCAACACTCCCCAGAGCCAAGCGATCATGAGCGCCCTGGAGGAGCGCGCTCAAAGGTAGCTTTGAAGTGGCGTTATAATGACTTTGCACGGGGGGTCAGGATTTTTGAGCGGTCACCTTTCCAGTACAACGTGGATGGACCGAGTCTAGCTTACGAAAACGGCAAGTCTTGCTACGCCAGGGGTCAAGCATGCCGGCTAGTCTCATGTTTCGAGGGATGCGTGCGCTGTACGCAGACATGTCTGCTGAAGCCCGTCTTAGGGGGCATGCATATCGATACCCCCGAAGATGAACTGATGTCCCTTGGACAGCCGCAAGCGGCAGCAACACACACAGTTGGAAGGAGAAGAAGAAGGCGCAGCAATCCCTGCAGGAGGCCCTTATTAAGGCGTCTTGGAACGCAGGTGATTGTGACGGAAGGACGTCCTCCGCAGAAGGTTGGTTGACGAAGCGCGCACTCGACAATAAGAGAGTCATTCTACATCGTTTTCTTTTGTTTTGTGCATCCGTTCAGATTTTCACTTCTGCATCTTGTCTTAACGCCCAAACTGCAAGATTGACCCTCACAGGCCTGCAAGTTCCGTCTCGTTCCCTGGCTCCAGGGAATGGCATCGGGTCCATGGGGCCATGGGGTGAAGGCCTTTTCGCCTTCCGGGCGAATGAAAAAGCGAGGAGTTTTTCTCAAAGGAGCATCCGGTTGACTCTCGGATTTTCAGCTGCTCACGCTGTTGTGGAAGTGACGGACGTGCCCAATGCCGCTGAGAAGCGAGCTTTCCGAGTTTTAGAGCCAGGGGACCGCAGGTTGGAGTCTACTTTACCACGTGCAAGGGCAACCCATTTCGGGCCCCGTTCTTTTCTTGAGCCACACCCTTTTCAAGAAAGTTTCAGGTATCTTGCTTGGAGACCTTCCACCAAAACACCTGCAGCATGCAAGCGGATCGCACCGAGTCCACCGCAGGCCCCACAAACCAAAGGCTGTATATGTCTATGAACATACGGTCAATTTGGACTCCATTGGGGCGATTTTTCCAAAAACTCAGCTACACTTGGTGCTGAATGAAATAAAAACATCAGGCGTTCATATTGTGGATGCACGAATTCCTGCACTCCAAGGAGTGATATGTCCCTGTAAATGCCAACGAACGGTATGGTTTGAACAATGGTTTCAAAGTGGTGCGAGCGGATTTCGCAACCATCCACAGTAACCACGAGGTTCATCTTGGGTTCATACGCGTTCAGCCTAGCAATTCCGAGGTGAAATGCGACGCAGACTTCCAGCGGGCCGTGGAAATTGAGGCGCAGCAGGCCACCGAAATGCGGGGCGCAGGGAGAACTGGGGATGTGAAATCCGCTTTGGCCGCCCTATGATTACTTGCAACTTTCCCAAGTTTGTCCAGCCCCAACCCGGATTCATTTCAAGGTACCCAAGGTACCCTCCCACAAACATGGAACCTGACATTTTGGGGGGGTGGGTTCTCTTTCAACGGAACATCTTCCCAAAACGGACCTCCCCAAAACGTCGAACGGTTCCATGTGAATTGGCGGGAGGGCCCATTCCCTCAGCCCTCTCGCACTTGGCTTTTTGCGCTGCAAAGCCGGGTGTTTCTCTCTGGTTACGGGGAAGGGGTTACTTGAAGGGGCGATCGGGTATGTCAGGTAAATGGGTAATAAGCATTGACCCAAAGCCATGGTTATATATATATATATATAAGTCTAAGTGGATTATAACCAGGCTACTAGCCACTTACTAGGTACCCTGCTCCTTCAAGTAGTGAGGCTGCTCCAAAGCGGTGGTCGTTATTTTGTGGTTTCTCTTCTTGAGGCATGTCGGGTTTTGGTTTTTCTTCGCCGGGGCCGGGGACAGCGGCTGCACAGTGGAGACCCTGTGGAGTCAAGGTGCCTCGCATGCAAGTGGTGACCTGCAAGGGGATGCCAAAGCAGGTACGTTGAAGTCACATTCTTGTTGAGCTTCTCCGTTCTTGAGATGTCGGCAGGGGTGCGGTTCCAAAGGTGGTGGTGAAAACCAGCACTTCATGGCAATTGCCCTCCACTAACATGGAGCCTGACGTTTGGGGGTCCTGGAAGACCATTTTCCTTTAAAAGGAGAAAAAAAAAAAAAAAACAAAAAAAAAAAAAAAAAAAAAAAAATAAAAAAAAAAAAAAAAAAAAAAAAAAAAAAAAAAAAAAAAAAAAAAAAAATAAAGAAAAAAAAAAAAAAAAAAAAAAAAAAAAACAAAAAAAAAAAAAAAACAAAAAAAACAAAACAAAAAAAAAAAAAAAAAAAAAAAAAAAAAAAAAAAAAAAAAAAAAAAAAAAAAAAAAAAAAAAAAAAAAAAAAAAAAAAAAAAAAAAAAAAAATTAAAAAAAAAAAAAAAAAAAAAAAAAAAAAAAAAAAAAAAAAAAAAAAAAAAAAAAAAAAAAAAAAAAAAAAAAAAAAAAAATATAAAAAAAAAAAAAAAAAAAAATATAAAAAAAAAAAAAAAAAAAAAAAAAAAACAAAAAAAAAGGAGGGACCCTCGGGTGAGTTCCACGGCAACGTGGACAGGAGGGAACTGCAAGACGCCCCAGTAACGCCCTCCGCGCTCCGTGCATCCTTTGCGCTCAGTGCATCCTCTGCGCATCCTGCGCGCATTGTCCGCGTCCGGCGTCAGGCGACGTGGCGCTTCGGGCAAGACTTCAACACCGACAGCCTTTCTGATCGGAAGGACGGCACAGGCTCCGCCACTTCGTTGGGCTCCAACGGCAACCCTGTGCAGGCAGGGCTTTCGAAGGGTGGGGGGGGGAAATGAAATAATAAGATTAGAAAGCAAGTAGGATAATGATCTAGGTCAAATGATGATAGTTTAATCATGATAACTCGTATTGGTCCACAGTTGGTCCCAAAAAGGTGAGGTTGGAGATCTCACCCCATCGTGGCTTTCCATGCGGCGACGAAGACGCACAAGCCATTTGCGTCAGGTTTTCTTCCTCGGCCCTGCCGCTCATCTTGTTTGCAAGTGTTCAGCCAAGTCTGCCCAGAAGCCTGGGATGCCCATGGTCCGTGCACCCGCTAGCGCAGAGTCCGTGCACTTTTCACGAACTTTGCTTCAAAGAATGGTGCGTGGGAAAGCGGGAAAGCGAGGCCAGGTTCTGCCACGACATGCCGCCGACTCTGGGCCGTCGACCACACACACGCACCACACATCTACATGTGCGAGATCGGGGAGGGTGGGTGGGTGCGTGTCCATGGTGGGGCGCCTAACTTGTTTGCAAGTCTGAGGGAAGGTCCGTGTAGGAAAAAATGGTGTGGAGGCTTTAGTTGGCAGTTGCGCCAGCCACGCATGCGCCACAAAGCGTATTTTGCCAGATCGTAGAGCGAAGCAACGCTTGTGTGTGGTTTGTTTGCTTGCTTGCTTGTTTGATTTTGTTTTGTTGTTTGATTTGGTTTGATTTAAGTTGGCTTGCTTTGTTTGTTTGTGTCAATGGTGGGCTTGTTCGTTCTGTCCCACACGCCTTCTGGAATGTCATGCGGGCTACCAACCTAACTGTCCTGCGTAACTTGGTTAGCTGTGCTGCTCCAAAACAGTGTCCCTTTGCAAAAGCTAGCCGTGGGCAACGGCCAAGCACGAGAATCCGAAGCTCCTTGCCTCTTACACCCAGAATCGCAACCAAGAGAGCGGTCGAGATCAGTGGGGGGCAAGGAAGCGGGGGTGGGGCCGGTTGTGCGTTAATGGTGGGGTTGTTTGTCATGAGCTGTTAGCTGTAGCTACGGTGATGCTCTTGTGTGAGACCCCGGCGGTTTGTCTCCATCAGGCTATTGAGGCCACCTGTGTCTGTTTTGCCTTGCTGTTCTGACGGCAGAGGGAGCCGGCGTTCGCGCCTCAGGCGTGTAAGCGCATGTTCTTCTCGCTGGTGAACAAGATGGGCATGAAGGGCAAGCCGCCGCCAAAGCCATCGGCCAAAGCAGCAGGCGGCCCGAAGGCCAAGGCGAGCAAGAAGAAGCTCAACGCGGAAGACATACAGAAGGCCCTGGATCTCGCGGTGGTCCAGCTGAAGAGCAGCGTGAGGGGGCAACAGCCACAGGCGGTCTTTAAACAGCTGGACGTAAAACAGAATGGAACAGTCACGCCCCTGGAGTTCGCACACTTCATTCAGAAGACAGTCCAGGGAGTCAGCAGCTTGGCGATTTTGCGAGGCCGTGGTGCGCTGCTTTGCAACTAAAATATTGAAATCTCACTAGTTCCGCACCTCATGCGCCCAAACAAGGCCACTTCAATTTGCTTTGCCAAGTGCCACATGATCATACGGTTGCTTCCCAGTGATATGTGCGACTGTAATTTCGGACCAGTCAATCGGCAAAGAAGGGTATCCTCAACAAAAAGCCTTGCCCAGATGATACCCTGGGCCTGGGTAGCCTGTGCGTGCCTGTGTGCCGTATGTGTTTGTTTGCAAGCACCTTGGGCAAGCACCGCACATCTAGCGGTCAATCGAGGCAAAACGCAGGTTGGTGGGCTTTGGCGCTTGGCAGACAGAAACTGCGACGGCAAGTTGGATTTGCAGGAGTTTTCAGACCTTCTGAGCATGAAGCCCTGATGCAATTTGGCCGGGACCATGAGAGCCTGGGCTCTATTATTCTGAGCCTGCGCAACCATTTGCGGGAGACGTAAATGACCAAGTGTAGTGCTTCTGTGCGGCTGTCTGCTCCAAATGGCAACTCCGGGGAAATGGCCCGGAAACGCTTGCATGAGGTGCACTGCAGGAAAGAAACATGTGCATCTACCAACCCTTACATTTGACGTGTGTTGCCATCATGGACGTCATTTGTCAAGCAGCCACATCAAGGAGGCAGCTGCGGAACCAAGTTGAACTTTGAGCTTTTGATTCTGGAAAAGCGACTTCCCTGCCATCCATGACTTGATCGCTAGAGGGCTAGCTCGGCACCAAACAAGCATCAAGTTAGCATAGAGGTTCTTTGACTTGCATCTCAGCCGCAAGCTTCCATGTGCCTGCCAGCGCAGATCAGCCTTGCAAGCCTTGGCATCCCAGGTCCTGGTTTCATAGTCGAGTCATTTCGGCCGCCCCGTAGGGGCGCTTGCCCTGAACACGTGCACGTGCGACGCAGTCATGCAATCTTTTGGAAGACTGCCGCCATACCCCTCAGGGGGACGCACGCTCCATGGCATTCTTGTTTTGCGAGTGAGGTTGACCGCTCGCTGGTAGCAACGACGAGGTATGTTTGTAAACGGCCTCAAGCCGTAGGTGTCTTAATCCAAGGTCAAAACGGGGATCGACAGATGGAGCCTGTGAGCTATCAAACTCCCAGAGTTTGGCAATGCCTCGGAAAGGCCGCTCACCCGGAGCGGGATGTTAGATAGCCGAGTTTTTTTTCTTCTATTTGCGCTGAGCCTGTCTTAGACAAGGGCTCAGCGACGCCGGCAGCTTCATGCATGTGGATCTGCGGTTCTGCGGTTCTAGCGCATTGGGCGGCGTTCCTTCCCCCAGGGATTCAGGGGGCACGGCCAGAGACCCCCCAAGGGAGTTCAGGACCCTGATGGGGCCCCCTTGCACACGGCCGGGATAGCACTAGGTCTTGCCTTCCTTCCAAGAGCAGAGGACAAACCCTTGCGCAGTTCTTATCCATTCCGAGCTGGATGGGTTTAGGGAGCTCCATCTTGGGCAGGGTGTCCAAGACACCAGGACTGATAGACAGAGCGGACTTTGAAGTAACGAAAACCTGGCCGCGGTGGGGGGAGACATGGGGAGTTCGAATCTGTGTGACCCTCATGGCCTCTGCCTCCGGCGTCGGCCGTGCAGCTTTGTTGTGGGGCGCCTTCTGACCCGGGCCTGCCTACTCAGGCGGATATCCTGGTAGGGATGGTCACAACTCGCCCAGCCATGATCAGCCCCAAAACAAGGAGTATGGGTCAATGGGTCATTGTACGGCAAAATTGGAGACCCTGTGGGCGATCAGTTGCTTTGCGACCTCTTGTTCTCCTCCTGACTTTTGCCACAACAACAGATCACGGGGCTGGCGTCCAGGCGGCCACTTTTGATTCTCAGATAAGGGCGCTTCTGAAAATTAGGAACCCCTTCAAGTGCTCGGTTTCCTTTTGGCTTTCCTTCAAAAACCCTCCGAAAGAAGGGGACCCCCAATTTGTGAGAGAACCACCCCTAAGACGCCCTGGCCGGGGCCAGGTCTACCTGCATGACACCCGGGACACCAAGCTCTTCGAGTCCCGGCGCCGCTTCCGGAAGGCGTTTTGTCTGGGCTGGTGGCGAAGCTCGAGGGGTTGACGTGTTGGGGGACTTTAAGCTTTTGGGGAAGGTCATTTTGGTGGGAAATAGCCAGTTTGGACGCTCTTTTGTTTTTTTGGCCAAGCTACTCCGGGAGTGAACCAAGGTAAGTGTGGGGTGGGCGGTGGGTTGCGCGAGCAGCAACTGTGCTATGAGAGCTGCCTCAAAGACAACTGCAGCAACTGTATATGGAAAGCCAGCAATCCAACAGAGAGTACGGTGAACTGCCAGAAGCTCACGGCCTCATTGTAGAGGCGCCGGCAATTCCGGCCCTGGGTGTCAGCTCGGGGTTCAAGCACGGACCGTGCATTCTGAAGGGCGTCGCCGGCAACGCCGGCTGATCATTTGGATTGGGGGGCCTTGGAGCCCTCGCGGTCAGTAGGTCTTTGCAGCGATGCCGCATCGATTTCATGGTTGGGATGGTGCGTCCCGGTACGGTTGTGTCTTGCGGATCTTCAACAAGGCTGCAGGAATGGAACCGACTGGGGCATGGAGGTTGTGCTCATACGGTCCAGCTATCCCCGACGCAAAAGCCAAAGAGAAACTCCCTGGGGCGCGCGATGTGAATGAGAGACTAGTTCAAGGGTGGCTTTGTGAGATCTTCAACAGCCGGATGGTCGCCTCGCCAGTTCGACTTTTCGGCTCAGCTGCGGGGTTTCGAAGCGCAATCCAACCTGGTCTCCCGGCAGGTGCGGCACTTGCAGTTGTGAGGTGGGTGCGGGGATGTGCCAAAAAATTCAAGGCCCGCAACATGAAGCATTCTGGACTGCTTGGTTTCTGCTCGCAGCCTTGCCTTTCACCATGCCGGCGCTACAACAAGAACAAGTCTATGGTTTTGAAGTCGGAATTGTGTCGCACTGCTTGCCCATGCACCTGCTCATCCAAGGTGGTAGAAGGCCACACAAACATAGAACAAGCATCGCGCCGCGAGAGGGTTCATGTTTGCACATTCTCTGGGACAAGGCTGTGGGATCCTCCTCCTTTACATGCGGGGTTAGTCTGTGGGAAGCCTTTTCCGCTGTATCGCAGAAGTAGGCGTTTCCCACAGCCCTGTTTTTTACATATCTTCCGGGACAACTTCAAGTGACCGCCAGCCCAAAACTGGGCTAAAGAAGCCTCTAAATCCTTCCAGGAGATGGCAAGCTTCACTGGTCGGCGGCCAGGCAGGTCGGTCCAAGCTGCAGGCTTCTGATTCTGCCTTCCAAATTTCCAAAGTAGCCTCAGCCCCTTGGTACAGCACCCCTTGCCCCTGGCGGCCCTGGCATTGCCTTAGTGTCCGCAAAGCAACGGCATGGTTCATGCGGAGGCAAGGCCATATTGGCATTGCTGGCAGCCAGCGCCCTCTTCGCAGCAGCTGGCCTCATGCCCCCGGCTAAGCCTTCCAATCGGCATAGCTTTGACAGGGTCTGGAGTTTAGCCCCAGATATGCGAGAGCGCATGCCTTGAACTTGGCGTCAGTCAGGCGTCGCTGAACGCCACGAAATTCGGAATCTGGGTCCAGAGACATGGCTCAGGCCCGCCTTTGTGCCGACGGGAATGGCGGCACCCCACCTGGGCACAGGCCGGGCATTTTTCTAAAAAACTATTCCTGACTGGCATTCATGCAATGAAGCTTTTTTTGTTGATTCATTGACCCTCCTTCCGTTTCCTTCCGTTTCCTTCCGTTTCCTTCCCTTTCCTTTCCTGACCTTCCCCTCCCCTCGCTTATCGTTCTTCCAATTAGCAGCCATGATGTGGATGAGCGAGGCAGCATGTGTTTTTCGCTGCTCCGGTGGCTTATTGCCAACACTTGCCGGCAGCTGTTGCTTTTGCTGCAAGACTTGTGTTGTCGTATCTGACTTCCGCCTCCAGATTCAAAACAATTTGGCAGACTGGCCGTCGACGCCTTGATTTGTAAGGAGCCACCTAGAGAGGCGATAGCTTGCGAAAGAAATCGTGCTGTGTCGTTGGCCCTCACCGTGGTTTTCGTGGCCTCTGATTATGACTTATAAGCATAACCCCTGCCCTATCCCTGCATTGGCTAACCGCGGCCGCGAAGTGATGCAATGCTTCGATTGTTTGATCTATCAACCAGCAACCAGATTCAGCTTAGAAACATGAAGTACATGTTGTTTGCCAACCAACATCTAGAAAATGACGCCGCTTGTCGGCAAACCCTTCCAACATGCAAAGCCTAGACATCACCCCCTGCCCAATTTGAAATGGATATGGGCCATGGGTCAAAATTAAACCACAGGGGACCGCAGGTTTTGGTCCATGCTACCACTTGCAGGGTTCAATTTGGGTACCGATTTTTGACCCACAGGCAAATGAGGACACGTTTTGGGCACAACGGGCCGACAAATCACTCGTTGCAACTCCCGGACAGAACATGCCAGCCGCGCTCGGTCGGCAGGCGCTACAGTGTCTGGGGTCATGGCGTCAAGGCCACTGCAGGCCGAGGGCTCCAGGTGTGCGTGTGTGCGCGCGGGTGCGTGTCTGTGCGTGCGCCCGCGCAGGTGTGACTGTGCGTGTGTGAATTGGCGAGCGCAGGGGTTCCCTGTCTGGAAAACGGTGCCCCGCAGCCCATTCTGACTTGGGCGTGCTTTGCATGGCGAAGGGCAAAGGGCACTCAGGCAGTAGCCCGGTTGCCAAGAAATCCCGACAGAAAGGAGTGCATGGCAAGTGAGTCGTTGACCCCTGCTGCAAACAAAGCAGTGAAGGCATCAACTCGCTTCAAACTTGAGCTGACTCAAAAGGAGAAACACATCTGGCAAAAGAAAGTGTACACATATGGGTCCATGTCAACATCGGGGCACCGCACGATCCAAAATGGGCAAGCTCTCTTCAAACCAAACTGAACAAGGTACTCTCAAACACACACCCACACACACACACAAC